TTCACAAAAGCTAAACAAATCCAAATCTAATTATAACTTTAGAACTAGTGGAAGAGCATGATTTATGAATTATTTTCTGATTTTCTTCATGAGGCCCCTGTCATTTGTACTTTATTCATGCCCAGTCTCTTTTATTCATGTTGGAACAGAGTCAGGGAAACCAGTAATGGGGAATGGTTGAAGTGCAGTCTTGAAAGGGAGAGGTAACTGTGAAGGATCAGCCATTCCACATGCGGTATAATTTCAGAGTACTCAGCCCCTCTCCTTTTTTAGGACAACAAAACCCAGAGGAACATAGTGCATTGCTCACACTCCCCTCAGTCAGGTTGGTGGCCACCCCAAAGTTGCAATCCAATCATTCCAAGCCCAGAGCCATTCTCCACCATATCCTAGAGGGTACATTCTCCCTATAGTAGCTTATGTGGGTCCTGGACCCCTGCCGCTCCTCACAGAAATACTTTTATACATGATTTATGTTTGGAAATTGCATTGCTGTCAAAATTCAGCCCGGAAAGTATGTTCTCATTTGAGTTTTCCTTGTTAGGCTTACTCATCCTGCATACTTACAGCAGGACTGAATACTCTTCTTACACACACAAGCGCACATGTGGCTTGCTCTGCCCCTGCATGCACTCTTTCCATCACAAAGGGAAATTAATGGTTATATTAAGTCAGCTTGAGTTTAGTATGTTGCCCTTTGAATTACCTTTGCCACCCCATGAAGGGGAAGCAGCCAGAGAGATCACTGTGACACTGTCAGTCTGAGACAATGAAGCAGACCGTGTGGATTTTGTTAGAAATGAGATCAAAGCTTTTGGGAGGTTTTCTTTTCTTTTAAGCATCCTTTTCTCACTTGCTGGACATAGTCAGAGTGATTGCATGCGACTCAGGTCAGGGAACAGGGAGATAGAAGAAAATATTCTCAATATCTCAGCAGCGGCAGTTTCTGTTGATGAGATTACAAACAAGTGTTATTTTAATCAAGAACTATTTTTTCTGGCAATTAGACTTTCTCTACTGGTAGGTGTCAGATAGAATAGGTCTGTGCATATATATATATAGGTCTGTATTATAAAGAACATTTAAAAGTATGATGTATTAAAGAGAAGATTATATGTAGACTTTTAGAGCATCACAGAAATTTAGACTTGAAGAAATAGGAAAATGCCAGGTAATTTGTTACCTGTTTTTTTTTTTTCTTTTTCATATTTGCTCATTCTTCATATCCTTTACACATTCAATGATTATTTCTCTTCCTTCATCTCTTTTACATGTTAACTTAGTTGCCAAACTTTGACTCTGAGGAAAGCAATATTGCTATGTCTCCAAAATATTTATATCTGAGGACTTTAGATGGTTGCATTCTAAAATATGTGTGGTCATGCATTTTTCACTTAAAATATCTCTCACTATCCTGTGTACAAGGCTACTGAAGATTAAGATAAAAATTTCTCTACCACCACCAACCTTTATTCTTTTTGATGGGTAGATTTTATATTTTGTTTTTCTAAATGAGGGAAAACAGTTATAGTTCCACCTCTTCTATGCTTCTCTTCACTGAGTTGTAAGCTCAGTATGTGCACATATGTAAGATTTCAAGCGCAGACGAGAACAGAGTAAGAGACAGATTTTCACAGTCTCCGTCTGGGTCCTTGTGTTAGTGCCAATGTAAAGCTATTCACTGATCAGTGAAAAACAGTATAATGTTGCCTGGCTCGAAGGAAACAGATTTGAAAATCTAAACTTAATAAGCAGATCAATTGGGGGGAGGGGGTTGGGATTATTGTATCATATTCCAATGACATGCAGTGTTGTCAAAAACTTTTTTCTACAGAATTAAAATTGCAGGAGGCATAGAGATACCTTTAAAAATGTCAGGAAAGAGGGCTAGGAAAATATAGTTAAGAGTAATGAAAATATATCACTTACACATATATCCCAGGAAGAACACATTGTGAGCATCTGGGTATCTCAGGGTGAAGGGTAAATTTAGTGTGGGTGTAGGAGGAGGGGGAAGAGGTTTACGCTGCATACAAGGAGGTAAATAGAGTGAGCTGAATGTCTGGGAAGGAGAGGATTGCTGGGTATAGGTGTGAGCCCCAGGGCTTGGGGGAAGTTGTATCACTTCTCTGCAATTTTAGAGGCTAAAGATAGCTGTGCTTGTGTTTCCCTACAAAGCAAGGGGGGCAACTTGTAGGATAAGTCCTAAGGGAAAGATTGGTAACTATTTCTGCTTCCTTCATACTCATTAAGCATAAATATAAGACCTACTTTGGGGTTAAATTCAGATTTTGCACATTTCTGCTCCCCTCAAATTTCTTGCTACCAACTTACTGATGTCTAACATTTCTTTAACAAGAAAGCATTCCATTTTATAGTTAGAGATAAGGCTTTCAATACCTATTTATTTAACCCATTCAATGGAATTTGGCCACAATTGACATTTATTGGATACCTATTTTGTGCCTGGTCGTAACAAGAAAAAAAAATGAACAAGTGAGGCTCTGGTCTTCCCTAAGACGTGGGGACCACACGTTAGTTACAGTGAGATCTAAGTTCCACGTCTCTTTCTCCCTGTGCTTCTCACAGGGCCTGACTCAACAGAAGTTTTTGTTTTTGTAAATAGATGGATCCATAATGACTATAGTATCACAAAGACTGTAAAGTAGATATGTATAAGATATAATTTTGACCAGGGAAAGAAGTAAACAACTTCACATTGAAAGGATGCAGGTAAGGGGAAGCTTTTTAGGGAAATGTGTGAATGAGATCATGAAAAATGAATAGAGGTTTTCCAGAACTTCCAAAACAGTATCCAGCCAGAGGAATAAGTGTAGGCAAAGGCAAGAATATAGGAAATGACATGGCTGTTCAGGGAGCTGCAAATAACTTCTCAAACCTAGAGACCTAATGGGAGTATTAAGAATTGTGGCAACAGGGATTGTCCTGCGAATCCCTTAGAAGTAAGTGACTCCCTGGTTTGAGACAAGGCAGGGACGTGTTGCTGGGTCCCGAAGGTAGATGTGGAAAAACAAAGACCCATGGAACTTGCTTCCAACTTACATTTTTAACTGATGTGGGTTTTGCTTATTTTAATAGTACTGGGATTTAGAAGCTAATTATGGAGAGATTTCTTGCTGTGGAATCAACGAACTTGATAAACTGTTCCAATGAGATTTTGTATTTTAAAAAGAGATTTTGCATTTTAGAGTCAGATGACTGTATCATAGATATATCCCTTTCTAAAGAAATCTATAATTTAATAAATGTAATTTATGCTGGTTCCATTTAGAATTTAAAAGAGTTCAATTACACAGATTTGTCCTGTCTGTAAGTCAAGACTTACCCCAATGGGTGAGAGTTTCTCAACACCTTTGGTGAAGACAAAAACATGACATGGGTTTTTTTTCGTACTACTAAATACTCACCTCTGTCGGGCAGGGTGTTTCCTTGACAGACAGTGTAGTAGAGATGCCGTGTTACCTCCTTACTATAAGGAGATCTATGATGGAAGTTTTATTTGGTTTCTTTGGACTGTTTTAAATAACTTTGAGGAGCATATTTTAGTTTTAAATGAAGAGTCCTACAGTAATAAAAATTGGTTTCTTGAACTTAGCTTTAAATATACTTATTGATTATTTTAATCAACTAAAGGGTCCTACTGAGTTGAAACTGATACAATAGAACTGTTGCTCCCCTTTCGACCCACTTATACCTCAACTACTGCTCTTGTTTTTTATTTTTTCGTCTACTATGTTCATTCTATTAATTTGTGGACAAAGTAGCTACTTATTTTGCACGTTGAGGTTTAATATATGTTCAGCAGCTGAGAGAGATTTTAATTTGGGGGGAAAGGTTCTTAGCTGATTGTATTAGTTCAGCGGTTTTAGAATAAGATGTTTGCGGGGAGGGGTGGCAGAACCTTCAGTCATTGATTCTCTCTTTATAACTTTGCCCTTTTAGCTGGAACAGATTACTTGTGCAGTGCTGCTCGCCCTGCACAGACTGAATCACAAGGAAGAAACTTTACATAAACCATTTATACTAAATGTTTGGTATGCTGGCAACATAAATCAACAACAATATCCATTACAAATTCATCCCTTTATCAGTATTATCTTGATAGAACTGATCCCAACGTGTGGGAATTTGAACCCTGCTTCAATACATCTAGCCCCGGATAATTAATTATTCAGGGCACAGAGAACCTGGCCCCTGCGATGTGGAGTAATTCTTCCTGGTCAGCGTTAACTCCACTGGCAATAATAAATAGAAAAAGTCTCTAGTGATGCCAGTATTTTAAAGTGATTAATCATCTTTCCCCCCTACTCCTCCCCCTCAGTTTTCTTTAACTAGGATTTTTCAGCAATAAATCTTTAACAATACAGGTAGGAATTGTTCTGTAATTAAATTTCGCCCTGCTTAATTTCTTACCTTTATATGTGTGATTAAAAAAAAAATGTTCCATTTTACGGAGTCCTGATCAAAATTCCAACCAAGAAAAATCCTTTTACAAAATAGCGAGAGATGCCGTACAGAAGATTAAGCTCTCGATTTTGAATATTAGATAGAGCACATATTCATAAAAACTGTTCGTCAACACCAGTTGGGGTGTCAAATATTCTGAAGTTTTGAATTGCTTGACTTTCATGCTTACGATTCGTCTGTATTGGGAGAAGTCTGACATACACATATGTTCCAACCCTGAGGGAATAATGGCTTATTTTTTCACTTTCAGATAGTTGATGTCTGGAGGAAAGGGATGTTTTTCACCATTTTTGTGGTACACAAAATACTCTTGCTGAAGTGTGGCAGGTAGATGGCTGAGTGAGGAGGACCGTGTATTATTTTTACATTGTGCCCTGTCAAGCTGCCCAGCCATCATGCATATTCTGGGTGACAGGGACAGTATGACATATCTGTTGTGACACACTTCTAGACCACCAGCCCGTGGCTCGAGGTGACTCCCGTCCCTCCCCTGATGCTTTCCCCTGCTGCAGGACAACACAACGACGCACGGATGAACCTTGCCATTGCTCTGACTGCTGCCAGGTATGGGGCTGCCACAGCCAATTACATGGAGGTGGTGAGCCTGCTCAAGAAGACAGACCCCCAGACAGGGACCGAACGCGTGAGCGGGGCGCGCTGCAAGGACGTCCTCACAGGTACGCCGAGGCTCGGGAGGGAGGGATTTCTCAGCCTCTTGCCTGGCTTCTGGAATGACTGAATTATAATTTTTCTGTCACTTTTCTTTCATGTAAGCCACATTTCAGAGTCATATTAATTATATTCCTTATTGTCAACAATGACTGGTTTAACACGAAAATTTCCCTCGTGGGACTCGGCAATTTTTCCCCTTTGTATTATAATTATAATAATGATAATGATAATAATAAATGCCCACAGAATCCCCACTGCTATGAATGCATTCCGTTTTCTTTACAAAAACATGTTATTAATAAAATTAAATAAATGTGCCAAGTCCCAGAGTATCATTTAGGTGAGACAGCCGAGCGCATTTACACATCATTAAAGTCAATCACCTTAACTTAGGCTCCATTTTCATTCCTGGGGCCACGTAGGCAGCTTCAAAATGACATCATTTCTTGAACAAAAGCACTGTGAATGGTTCTCAGGGCGACACTGTTTACACACTGAAGTTTTAAGAAGGGAGATTATTTCCTCACGTCAGTTTCTTCATGTTTGGTGCCTTGAGGTCCCTTCTAAAATAGACCTAGAACCACCAGGCACCAGTGAAAAGCTTTCCCCTCTTCAGACTTGGTTTTGGTAAATTGACTCAACACAAGCCTTTTGTTTGCTCTTCAGTAACTCTGGCTGCCCGTGTCAGTTAGTGGGGTATGCAGTTTACTTCACCATAGCTTAAGTTAACAGATGAATTAATAATCCACAGCCTCAGTGAGCAGGGAAACAAATGGAGTATGTGATGGATGCTGCTTTCCTTCCCAGGGCAGGAATTTGATGTGAGAGCCAAGTGCGTTATCAATGCCACAGGACCTTTCACGGACTCTGTGCGCAAAATGGACAACAAGGATGCTGCAGCCATCTGCCAGCCCAGTGCTGGGGTCCACATCGTGATGCCCGGTTATTACAGGTAAACCTTCTTCCAACACCATGCTCAGCGCCTGAGAAGGGGGATCACGGGAGATCGTGTTAAATTTCTTCTTTTAGCATAGCTTTCTTAAGGATAGCTTACCTTGCCGTTCTAGATGAGGAGAAATAAGGAAAGAAAATCTTTCAAAACACAGAATAGACAAGAGACTTGGGAATTTCTTAGCCGCTTATGCCAGTGCTTAAAGGTTAATAACTTGTGATCTCTTCATCCACTTTGTTCAGTTTAGTTCAGAGTATAAGAATCGGTATTTTTGAGTTATAGTTTTTTTTGTGGTTTTTGGCCAGGGCTGGGTTTGAACCCACCACCTCCAGCATATGGGGCTGGCGCCTTACTCCTTTGAGCCACAGGCGCTGCCCTTGAGTTATAGTTTTATTTAAGGCATTAAGAAATTAATTTTAGCCTGGTGTGGGGTCTTGTGCCAGTAATCCCAGCACTTCGGCCAGGAGTTTGAAACCAGCTGGGGCAACACAGCAAGATCCTGTCTCTACAAAATAATAAGAGAAATTAGCTAGGCCTGGTGTGTGCACTTGTAGTCCTGGCTACTTGGAAGGCTGAGGCAGGAGGATCACTTGAGCCCAGGAGTTTGAGGCTGCAGGAGGCTACAATCATGCTGATGTTCTATGTGGGCAACAGAGTGTACTCCTGTGTACTCCATGTCTCTGAAAAAAAAAATTACTTTTGTAAAATATCCAAATTTGCTTATGAAAAATCTGAGAATGTGGATTGCTTAGGTGTTCTTGGGTTTATAACTTTTGAAATATATTTTAAGAAATAGTATACCAAGTAAAAATCATATATACTTTTTAACCTAGTAAATTAATGAAGATAATTGAGGATGAAGAAGTGGATAAAAGTGAAATAGAGATGAAACAAGAATAACATTTAGTTGAAAATCATTTAAAATGGGTAAGGGTACATGTGGGTTCATTAAACTCTCTATTTTTATAAATGTTTGAAATTCTTAATAAATCAAAAAGGAAACAGCCGTGTAGTTCTAGGTAAAAAATTATTATTCCTAAATGTACATTTCAAGTCATCTTTGGAAAAAATCTATATGGCCATTCTAAGAGTATAGAATATGCTTCCTGTTTTTATTTTCATATGTGGTAACTCTAGTAGTTCTATGTGAAATAGTGATTAACTTGCAACAATATTCATTATGACATTGTTCATAGTTGACAAAGATTAGAAACCACTTCAGTTCCTCCCCTTAGGATAATAGATAAATAAATCATGGTATAGCTACATGAGGGAATATTATACAGTCATTAAAAATTATAAACAACCTTAATATCCTTGGAAAATACTAATGATTCCATGTTAGTTTAGAATGCAGAACTCGAGATTTGATTTACATACAATAAGATCTATTGATTTACATACAATAGGATCTATTGATTTACATACAATAGGATCTATTGATTTACATACAATAGGATCTAAATGATATATATGGAAAAAGACTGAAAGGAAATGTGTTATATATTAATGGTGATTATCTCTAGGTAATGCGATCATGGATGACAGTTGCCTCCTTACTTATTTTAATAATTTTCCATATAGGGCATGCAAAGCTTTTAATATTTGATAAGATAGATACATAGACACTATGATATTTTATTGTCTATTAGAATGCTCTCCTGCTACGTTATAGATAAGGTTGTCTTATTAATTATTGGTTCTCAATAACTAAATCTTCCTGAATAGTCCAAGATGTACCTAATTTGTGCCAAGTGCAGTTTGACTCAGAAAAATGTTAAAGACGATTTCTTATCCACCAACATCCAAGGTCCACTCCTCCCTTTCTGGATATCTGTGTGAGATAGGTAGACACTCTTTGGATCTTTACTTTGAACTGGAGATACTAAGGTGCCTCTTCTATCTTAGTAATAGAAATTTATGCAGTGGTACCTAACTGAATTTTTAAGGCTGTTAACTAGAGTTTATTTGTTAACTAAGTTTACTTCAAAGGAAAAAGACAGAAGAAAATTACCTATGTTCCATGTTTCCTGAGGAGTTTTTAATAGTTCCAGATATAATTGTATAGACTAATTGTGTGTAGATTAAAATATCCAAGGCCATCTAGCTTATAAGGTTTTTTGGGGGGGAGCATTTTTTTTTTAATATCTCTAAGATCAGAGTACAGATTTAATCATTGCATTTAATCATCAAATCCTTAACATTTGCTTGGATTTTACGCGGCTCAGCATATTCCCACGTGTGTTGTGCCTCGTGTTTGGTTTGCTCCCATCCCATGATGTCAGACAACATGTTATTCCCTAGAAGCCTCTGCCAATTCTGTTACTTCATAATTGCATCCTTTGGGACAAAGTTATTTTGTGAACCTTAGGTTTCCCATCATTAAATTGGGAAAACATTTTGCTCTTTCAGAGTGCATAGACAAGGAGACAGTAGGGAAGGAACCGTGATACCGCGGTATAGGACTTACTGGGTTTGTTCACCACTTTTTTCAGCTCCTGATTCCTTATCTCACAATAGTACCTAACTTGTATAAAGTTTGACAATGTTCTTTTGTTGTTGTTTTCTTTAATTGACTGTTGTATCCCCAGCTCTTATTACAATGTCTGGCACATAATAATGCCTAGTAAATATTTTTTTAATGAATCCTACCAATATTTTT